CATAGAGTCATATTTGTATTGAAAATGACTAGTAAAAAAAAAAATCTCGCCTAGAGCTATACCATTAAAAATTTCCTTTCTTAACATCTCTTCTAAACCAAACCGAGAGGGCCTCTAACACAAAGTTAAAAAGAAAGGGAGGAAAATCTCTTTGGTGGATCCCTCTTGCCATTCCAAATTTAGTAGTCGGGGACTCATTTATATATAAAAAAAACATGTACTCCCTACATCCCAAAGTGATATTTCTTTTGACCTTTCACACAGCTTTAAAAAATTGACTAATTATAATGTCATATCATTATTTTTTAACAATGCTTTTCTAAAATATTTTTTTTTAAAGGAAAAAAATCTATATAATCTAATCATGCATTCAAAATAGGAGTATTTTAAGAAAGCATAGTATTAAAAATTTTGATCAGATAAATATTTTGAGACATATATAAATAAAAAGAACGATAATCTCTTTGAAACAGAAAGAATATATAATGTTGAATTATGTACTTACTATTTGCTAAATACCTTTTTAAAAAAGAATGCACGAAGTACATAACTTACATCATATACCACTTAATTTTTGAATGGAAGATATTACATCTAATACCAAATGATACTAATATACTAATTTTACTTATCCTTAATCAATAATGATCAATTACATTTTCTCATTATCATATATTCATAATTATAAAGTAAAGTTAGAAATTTAGATTTATGTTTATGGGATTTGCAATATAGTATTGGAATAATATTACATATATTAAAAAATTAAGTAATAGAATTTTTGTGACTTATGAAGTATAATTTAGTTAAGAAGTTATACAAGTGGGATAATTAGATTTGTGTTATAGAATTTGTAATAGTTGTATATTAAAAAAAAAATTAAAAAAATAGTAAAGATACCAAGATGGCTAAACCTTATCTGTTACCCAACCCAGATGAAACCAAGTCCTACTTTAGTCATATCCACTTTGATCCGTTAAATCAAATTGAATTGTTGATGCTAAGATCGGGTGAAATTGTCTATTCACGTGAGGAAATTTATTCTCTCCTTTTATATTGTAGAAGAAAATATTTTACTAAGAAGGCTGGCATCATTGACCGTATTTAACGCAAGCAACGCCACTAATGTGACGTAACCGAAGCCAAAAGTTAGCCATGCAAAACACGATGAATGTGGCTTTGACCATTGGTGGCACAGTTTATCCAACACTGATCGGACAGCATTTGAATATCATGTCAATGGCACATGTGTTTAGCTGTCTTTCTACGCTGTGGTTAAGAAATTAACTGTGGTGACCGGTCTGACTTGCCATTATTTATCTCTGGTGGCATGCATCAGAGCCTAACAGTAACGAAGATACCAACTTTTTGAGTATGAGTAAAAAGAAAAAAATACTTTTCATCAAGTTTGAGTAGTGTTTCTTGTAGGATAATAATGGGTGTACATTGCCCTGCTGCTCCACTGAAAAATATGAGCATTTCAAGGTTTCTGTAGGGCAGGGTCGCGTATTGTGAGATATATGGAGGGTATTGACTAAGTTGAGAGCGACTCTATCTTTTTCCCTTTCTTCAATACCAATGCTGTAGCGTAGGGCAGTGTTGAGTGTGGGGGGCCTATGCATTTAGGCCTTCACTTCTAACTTTAGGGCTCTAAGGACTCGCTGCCCCCAACCACTCTGTGCTTTGCGCTCTACTCTCTCCTACTGCATGGGTCATGAATATCACAATCACAATTAGAGCTAAATCTTGTGCTGCTAGTCTATTAGAATAAATTATAAATAAAAATTTTTAAATTTTTTTAGTAACGAATTAATTAATTTTTATTTTAAAAATTAATTATTTAATTTTTTTAATTAGTGTTGATCAAGCAATTTTTAAAAAACTATCGAATTATTTTATAATCTTTTCATAACATCTTTTTTTTTAAAAAAAAAACAATATGAAAAGAATATAAAAAGAAAAAAAAACTAAATAATTAATTTTTATAAGAAAAGGTACTTTTTATCTTTTTTTGGAAGAAACAAGAAACATTTTGCAAAAATACTAACACATTATTACAAATAATTTAATCTTGTATGCGACTTTTTGTGCTCTAGAAAATAATCATCTCATGTCTATTTGAGTCAAACCCTTTTTTTTTTTTTTTTTTTTTTTTTTTTTTTTGTACTAGTTGAAATATTATGAATATCTAACTATAGCTAAAAATACTTGAAATAATTTCTGTTCTCTACTTATTTGGTATATAGATGAAGAATTTTTTTTTTTTTTTTTCTTTGCATATACTATACTGGTTAACATTTAACGCCATTCCTAGCTATTCTCAGAGAAACAAAGAATTTCTTCTCTCCCATACTCAAACCATCTATGATTGTGTGGTTTGCATCCAGTGGTAGATAAGATGATTGTTGTTTGAAAAATATCTGCTGGTATTATGGATTATCTTTTCAAATTATAAATTGTAACTTTTTTTATTGTAGTATAAAAATAGTGATATATTTATGGTTTATTTAGAATAATGAAATCGATATTTTTCTTTCAAAAAAAAAAAAAACTAGAAAAGATAAGCATGATTTTTTAAAACTAATAAATATTGAATTGTAACTCTTTTTTTTTTTTTTTTTTTTATAACTATCATATATGTTTTTTTTCCTGTTCAAATTGTATGCTATTTGTCCACAAATTATTAATTTATTTGTTTATTGTAAATTGTTCTCGATATCATATAAGATGATTGCTCTTTTTTTTTTTTTTTCGTTCTTTTTACAAAATAGAAGTTTGAATTCGAATCATATATATTAGTTAAATTATTCATCAGTAAACCTTAAATTCTAGGTTTACTGATTCAATGATCCCCCCCAAAAAAAAAAAAAAAAGAATACAGGTTGAGACGTACGAGGGTAAACAAATGCCAAAGAATCTGACACCAAAATTAGAAACTTGAGTAAAAGAATCTTCAATAGCAAGTTTGCATGAAATTAGAAAATTAATTTGCAAGCAAGACCAAACATGCATAGCCCATCCATAATCAAGTAGTTACTAATTAAAGCAATATTGTGGACATATGATCATGTGAGCATAAAATGCTAAATTTGATGGAAAGGTATGAAAGATGAGCAAAGAAGATAAAGAGTCCACAATATATATATATATATATATATGATGATCTGCGATCAAAACAGTAATCATCACTAGCCATCATCACCATGGCCACACACCATGCTATTTATGGAATTCAATAACGCTCTTCTCGCGTGCACGTAAAGAGGCCCAGAGAAAAAGCCCTTTATTACATAAATTAAAATCAAGAAGTACCACTTCACTAATTACTTACTAATTTTACACTCATTAATTCTTTTTGAAAAAAAAAAAAACTATTTATCAATGAAATGATAAATATTTTTATAGAAGAAAAAATGTTGCCATAAACAAAATGTTGGGTCTCTAAGTTTCACGGGACAATTATATATTTCAACCTTTTGTGGAAACACTAATTTATGGTATACCTCTAAATTTCAATTCTGAAATAATTATTTTAAAAACTTGGTGAATTTCAATTCCACAATGAAAGAAGTTTCTATCACTGCTTTTCAATCTTGCATCTATTGAAAGTGAGTACATGTAGAGAATTTCAGTATGTAAATAAGGTCTAATCATTTTAAATTAATTTAGATTTTTTTTTTTTTTAGGTTCAGCAATAAGAATGTCTCGGGTTAATTTTCATAAATTTCGAAGCTAATTTCTCTTTTAACATGGCTAAGGAGCATTTACTAATACATGATTTTGGATATTCTAAAAATAAATTTTTATAAATACTAACTATCGTAATCAAATCATGAATTTTATCTACCTATAAATCAGTTGTTATTTAATAACTATACGTATAAATCAACTGTCATTTACTACTACCACCATCTTGTAATTAAATTAATTAATTAAGAATTTTAAACATGTATATCAAAATTAAATTACGTCACGAATTAAACTCCTATATGAGCTTTGGAATCAAAACTCATGTGAACACAAATTCAACATGAAGGTACCTTTTCCTCTTTAAAAGACTTTCTGTTACTAGGTAACTTTTATGGCTGTTAAACCTCACAAATCTTTTTGCAAGAAGACAATAATTATTGGCTGAAAATTACAATAATACAGTACTCTGTCGAACAACTACCGTATATGACAAAATACAATTTTCTTTCTTTTTCTTTTGTTACAAAATAAAACACAATTTTCTTTATCATTTCTATTGGCAAAAACAACTTTTCCATTTCTTAAAGCTTATCCGAAATCAGGACATACTCATAACAAAACAAAAGGAGAGAAACATAAAGGAAGCGATAGTAATGGATGAAGGCAATAAAGAAAAGGATAGGCCAAAGTGTCATACATGAATACAAGAGTAATTAATGGAGGATTAAAGGGACTGTTTCATGAGCATGCCAAAACCATGTGATCCCAATCCCATTTGCCACAGACAGAGAAATTAAGACCTCCCTCTTTTTTTTTCTTTTTTCTTTTTTTGAAAAAGAGAGAGAATTTATATAGACACCTCATGGATTCAAAATCTTTTTTTTTTTTTTTTCGTGTCTCTATTTTTCACTAAAAATATGTTGAATCAGCTTTCACGTCAATTTAAAAAAGCATCAATTCAAAAAATTATAAAAGATTGCAATCCTCCCTCCTCGATCGACCGCCAGGTTAATGAGTTCATTTTCTTTTTCTTTGAACTTGGAAGCTTTGACCAAAATCAATAGCTATGGAGTAAAAAATGGTAAGGTTAGTGTTGTCTTTTTCGAATTGGACTCTACTATAGCAAATACAATGGGTGCCCAAATGGCCAAATTGTTGGGTGAAGACATTCATAGATCATGACTTCCCTCCCCCTGCTGCCTCTCTCCTATTTAATCCAAACTCAGTGAAACACTCCATACACACAACTGGCAAGTGACAAGCCCATTTCTTTGCTTCAGTCCTGCTTCTTCTTTCCACTAATTGAGGCCATGGCCATGGCTGAGAAACAGATCTTTGTTTCCATGCTCTTTGTTTTGCTTTTAGTTGTTTTTTCTAGTGCTAGTCATCACCATGCAGTAAATGAAGAAGAAGAAGAAGCAGACAGGATATCTTCACTTCCTGGCCAGCCTAAGGTCTCTTTTCAACAATTCTCTGGCTATGTTCCTGTTAACAAAGCTGTTGGTAGAGCTCTCTTTTACTGGCTCGCTGAGGCTGTCCATGACCCCTTGTCCAAACCGTTGGTTGTTTGGCTCAATGGAGGTTACACCCTTTCTCTTCTTTCTTATCTTTCTCTCTCTCAACAGGCCTCTGTGCATCACTAGTTTAATTTGCTGGTACTGTTATATTGGTCATTAGGGATCCATGCTTAGTCGTCTTCCGAAAAAAACATTACAGTTACTTAGTGTCAACATGCATTTTCTTGTAATTAACACTTTCTTTGTTCCTCTCTCTCCTTTTTTTTTTTTTTTCCCCTTTGAAACGGATATATATATATCCGTATATGTGTGTGTGTCAGTAACTTTTCTTTGTTGCCGACATGACAATAAATGATAAAGATTCTTTGATTCTTCTAGGAGTACTTTTTTATCTTTTGGAACTAGAAGAAGTTGCTAATTTACTACGTACGTACTTACAATTTTTGAACACCTCTGTAAAGAGGCATGGAAATTTAACTCATTTACTTTAATTTCTCTAGTTGATTTGCCTAGAGGTACCTTTCGTTTTCATGCAGCAGGCAGAAACTGGGAAGAAAAGAAAAGTGGGAGTGGTCAGTGCCTACATGAATGGCCTACCAATGGCTAAAAATGATGACCCAACTACTAATAAATGATAGAATGAGTAGGCTCATTCTCACCCTTATTACCCGCCAATGAGAAAATAGAAAAATTTGACACCTTCACAAAGCTGAAAAAAAGAAAAAACAAATACATATAAATCATCACAGAAAACTACAAAAAAAGTAAATACGTACATGTCTAAATACAAGAACTCTCTGAGCCTCTCTGTCTGCATGGAGTGATCAGAAAGATAAATGCTTGAAAGCTACCAAAAATGAGGCCTCATTATTAGGCTACATCAATTACGAGCTCATTTTGGCATCTTTTTCAGCTTTAATAGGCGCACCATCAATGCATTCACAAAACCAACAAATTATAGCACCTCCCATTTTGTCTTCTCTATCCAATTCTTAGACTCAACATATCTGTCTCTGCAATGTAATCTTTATATCACTGAGTCTATTGGGTTGAGTGTAAGAGAAACTTTGCATATTAAGGCATAGACGTGATATGGCGTCAAATTTATTGGCACAATCTTTTACCCTTTCTAACAAAACAATATGATCTGGTATCTCTTTTTGGGCCCCATCCCATTTACATCATGGTTTTAATTTCTTTTCCTTCTACATGTACATAAGCAGGTCCTGGGTGCTCTTCTGTGGCATATGGTGCTTCTGAGGAAATAGGCCCATTTAGAGTCAACAAGACTGCTTCAGGGTTGTACCTTAACAAGTTCTCATGGAACTCTGTGGCCAACCTCTTGTTCTTGGAAGCTCCTGCTGGAGTTGGCTTCTCTTACAGCAACCGGTCCTCTGATTTGCTTGATACTGGCGATATTCGCACTGGTAAAATTCATTTTGTGTCGCAGTTTGATAAGTTATTGCTTTGTTTTTCAGTTGTAAAAGAAAGAAAGTGTGCATATAGGTTATTTTGTTGAGAAATAATTTGAAAGACTATTCAGCACCGCTACATTATAATGATGATACCATAGGTCCTGGTGTTTATATTTGGTGGGAAAGTAATTTGCTTCACCGACTAGAATTTAGCAAGTTAATCGCTGCTTTATGATTATGATTTGTCCAATTAATGCTTAACAAGATATGCCCCCATGTATAGTTGCATATTGTTGGATAGGATGGACCTTTGGTCCACATTTAGTGCATGTGATCAATGCCGGGGGAAGTTTGATATAGTAATTTAACCCTTTTAGGACTGCTTAATCTGTGTATTGTATCTGTAATGGAACTCTAATGTAGTGTTTGTGTGCAATATCTGAACCTAACTGATCTGGTATCACATAATTGCAATCTGATGCAAGCCATTATTTGTTAGCCATTTGACTTACTAGTGCACTTTAGGAATATCTGAGATAGGGGAGTTTATTTAATTTGCCATTGATGAGTATGTTTCAGTCTTCGCGATTGTATTTATTGTATTTTTGTCTGATTTTTTTATTTTTTATTTTTTATTTTTTTTTGGTGATCGTGACCAGCCAAGGACTCATTGGAATTTCTGGTTGGATGGATGAATCGATTCCCACGATACAAGCACCGAGAAGTATATCTTACCGGAGAGAGTTATGCAGGCCATTATGTTCCTCAGTTGGCTAGAGAAATTGTGACGTACAACAAAAGGTCCAAGCATCCAATAAATCTCAAAGGATTTATGGTAACTTTTTATCCACATGCTAGAACTACCTAATAGCTCCATTTGCATTGCTTTGTTTTCACTTGTGTGTTATACACAATCACAGCTAGACGAAAACATTCTGTTCCTAGAAAAGGGTTTTTTTGTGGCTATTATTAATATTACATTTCCCAGGCCCCATCTATCAAACAGTATGATTTGCAATGCGTGGTTGTGTAGGACTTAAAGGAGTTTCAATTCTATAAATGAAAAGCTAATGATTAATTGTGCTTTCTCGCCCTGTTTATTGCATTTCTGCAACCAATAAATTGATATGAACCGGTATCCAGGTTGGGAATGCAGTTACAGACACCTATTATGACAACCTTGGAACAGTGACGTACTGGTGGAGCCACGCGATGATCTCCGATAAAACATATCGGCAGCTCATCAACTCTTGTGATTTGGGAAGGCAAAAAGAATCAGACGAATGTGAATCATTGTATAGCTATGCCATGGATCAAGAATTCGGCAACATTGATCAGTACAACATTTATGCACCCCCTTGTAACAACTCTGATGGTAGCACCTCCACTCGTCAGACTATTCGATTGCCTCACCATCCCCATCAGGTATATATTTCAAGTTCCTAAACACAGAGTAATATTAACAATGCTGATAAGATAATATTTCTGTGTAAATTTTGTCAAAAAGCCATATGTTACATGTTTAGGTACAACCTGATTGATATCTTCTATTGTTTCTGTAACCATCAGGTTTTCAGGCCCTTATCTGGCTATGATCCTTGTACTGAAAAATACGCTGAGATTTATTACAATAGGCCAGATGTGCAGAAAGCACTTCATGCCAACGTGACCAAAATTCCTTACAAGTGGACTGCTTGCAGGTGAATTGCCAGAAAGCTGGGCAAAAAAACCAAAGGGAATCTATACATTTTCTTTAAGTAAACTGATGTTTTTTTGTTTATACAGTGAAGTTCTAAATCGCAACTGGAACGATACAGATGTTTCCGTCCTCCCAATTTACAGACAAATGCTTGCTAGTGGATTGAGGATTTGGGTATTCAGGTGAGATATTTTTCTTGGCTACTCCAATGATTCTATACAGCATTATTTCTCATATATAATTAATGTTCAACAGGTAATCGCTTTTTTTTTCCTTTTTATCCAACTATTGCATGCAGTGGCGATGTCGACTCAGTGGTCCCAGTTACAGCTACTAGATACTCCCTTGCACAACTTAAGTTGGCAACAAAAGTTCCATGGTATCCTTGGTATGTTAAGAAACAGGTCAGTATTCTGTCCCATTTTCTTTGTTTATGTTAGACTGGAATTGATTTGATAGAATGTTGTAATAATAGCCCACTAGCTAGGGAAACCTACCAGAATTAGTCCTTATTCAATATGTTCAACTACTTGAGCATGGAACACAAAGTCTATGCCAATCCACCTTAACATTAACAAACTTCGTCCGTGATTAGAAAATTTAACATCATTTGATTATTGTTTTCTTTGTTCTCCATTCCGATACGTTTGCGTAGCTATCAATAGCTAACATTGGATTCTAATTAAGGTTTAATCGCGACAGATACGAACAATGTCTTTTACCTGCTCAGCTTTAATTAATACTTAGTTAGGTAATGCATGGTAGTAGCATGGTCCAAATTTTCAAACTAATTAGAAGCATTTTTGAATTTGTTGTAATAAAGAATAACTAGTGTGGTTTTGTGAAGGTGGGAGGCTGGACAGAGGTATATGAAGGGCTGACATTTGCAACAGTGAGAGGGGCTGGTCATGAAGTGCCACTTTTCAAGCCAAGAGCAGCCCTTCAGCTATTCAGATCATTTTTGAAAGGGCAGCCCCTTCCTAAGTCTTGAAAAAAGAAAAGATCTCCAGTATTTTTGTGAAACATAGTTTCTTCTGTATTGTTATTGTTGTAAGGTGGACAAAGGGAAGTCTCAGTTTTAGTTGACCATTGACGCAAAATAGTAGGAAGAAAGAGTTTGATTGTGTAATAGCAGTGAGAGGGTTTTGTTTTTAATTTGTGCATTAGTTTGAATCTTGTTTTCAATCAAATTATTTGGTGGGAATAATTGGAAAGGAAATTATAGCTTCTTAGTTTATGATTTCTTCTATGAACATTGACTGGTCAGCATTTTCTTGATTGAGTTGCTTTCTTTGGTCCTAAAATATCATGCCTGTCTACCTTTTGCATAGTTGTCATGGAAGGATTATTATTTAGATAAGCATCATTTTTGCAGCCCATGTACTCTCATGACTTCACATTTGTCAGTAATTGCAATTTTGTTTATGGAATGGTGATTCAAGGTATAAAAGTGGCGTTTAATTTGATATTTTGCTGGTGTTGTCTTCGTTGACACCTTACTAACACGTTGATCATTCCAACCCTAGTTTAAAAAGAAACACGCCTTGATCTGATCTTATCAAATTTATGTTTCCCAACAAGTATTTCATGTGAAGAAACAGATTGCATGTGTTTAAAATATAATTAAAGGAGATTCCATTATAGCTAAAGAGTCTAATTATTTAAACAAATGATATTTATATATGTAAAAAATTATCTGAATCGTTATTTTAGTTCTGTGCTCTCAAAAAAACCCTGATAATCTCACTAAAAAAAGAAAAAGAAAAGAAAAGAATTAGATCATCCCTGCCCAATTCACCTGAAGTAGGTAGGTACTTGACAAGAGAGAAAAACCAAGAACCAAAATAATAATAATAATAATAAGTCAAGCCTTTTAGTACTTACTAACCGGTTGTCTTGATCCGGTAGAATAAAATTATTTAAAATTTTTTTAATTATAATTTTTTATTTAATTAATTTTTTCTAATGTTTTTTTATAATTTTTTTAGTTATAAAAAATCATAAATCATTCTTCTTTATGAATTGATTTTAAAATTAAAAATTATAATAATTTTAACTAAAATATTAATTAAGAATTAAAAAAAATTTAAAATATAATTTTCATAATATTTATTTAATTATTTATTTCAAATAAATTGGTTCTATAATGTTAAAAAAATATTCATAGTAAATAATTTGTATTATGTTGGAAGATGTATAGTTAATTTTTAATAAAATCATCGATTCAATAGTTTTTTTATACGCCTTAACTATACCTAGTGAATCGAGATATATATATATATATATATATATATATTATTCTAAAAGATTAAAAGTATATTTTAAACAATTTATTTTTAAAAAAGAAAAAATAATCATGTTTTAAAATTTTATTCTAAAATTCAAACATAGAGAAAAATAAATTATATTTATCGGTAAATAAAATTTCATATAAAAAATATTAATTGGATGAGAATTTTCATAAAAAATGATAAATTCAAATAATGAAATTTAAATAATAAGATTAATATAAACTGAGGTATATGTTAATTTTAAAACATAAAAAGATATATTATATAATTACCAATTTGTGTGGAAAAAAAAAGTTAGGATTGATTTTTTAAAATTTTAACGCCCAATTAAATAAAAAAAACATAAATTGATGGACAAAAGAAAAGGAAAAATTGATTTTTCAAAATTTTAACACCCAATTAAATAAATAAAAAAGAACATAAATTAATGAAAAAAACCAAAGAAAAAAAAAGACGTGTAGTGCATCAATTAGAGAATTAAAATTTTTATTTTAAAATTTTAAGGATCAAAATAAAACAACTTGAAAATTATATATATATATATATTAAGTTACAATAATGAATAGTGATCTATGAGGAGATGAATAGTAATTTTTACTATTCAAAAATCCTATTTGTTTTAGTTGTATAGTAATGACGAATTAATGCTTTCATATATAATCTTCGTTCTTTATTTCATATTTAAATGGTACTTCTTTTTTGTCTTAATATTAGCTATATAACCTTTTTTGTGTTATTATCCCATACTTCTATTAATGGATAGGATTAACATAATTAAATTTTATCCTTAACTACAAAACATGTTGACACATACATTAAAAAAAAATTCAAAAAAAAAATTATATTCAAATAACAGTTTAATTCAAAATAAATAGATTAGGTATAGTTTAGCTGTTACTTTTTTTAAGACAATTTATTATTATTATCATTATTATTATTATTTGTACAAATGTCAATATGTTATGGAATTAATTGTTATATTTAACTATGTTAGTTTCATCCACTAATAGAAACATAGGTTTAAATTTAATAGCATAGTTTTACTCTCACTATTAGAATTAAAATAAAATAAAATTTATAATATTGATTTGAGTAAAATTTATACTATTAATTTGAGTTGTTTAGATTCTAAATTATTAATTTTTAAATAATTTTTTATCATATTGAAAGTCAAAATGTTTACCAACTAATATATTAAAATGAAATCGTTTTAATAATTTCTGTTTTTTTAATTAAAATTATTTTTTAATATATATAATGGTTAAACTCAAATATTTCAATAGAGAGACGCAATCTCCGTCCAAATAATTGGTGCCGGACCACGAACCTTCTTGGAGGTCTAAACAAATGGCAATGGTTGCCTCCACGAGAAAAAAGACAGAAAAAAGAGAAACGTCCCCTTAACCAAGAAAAACAACTCTAACAAGCGCAGATGGGTTCCCAAATCCGTTCCAAACTCGCCGGCCAACCCGACTCGCTTGAACCCGGACCCAAATAAGTACAACTCCATGAGCCCCAAAGCGCACATCAAAGCCCTCGCTGATCAGTCCATGGAAGAAGGAGCTTAAGACTTGTGGAATGAAAATGATGGGCCATTGAAATTCCCTTCAGATGAACGACCAGGAATTGTTCGGACTAATCAACGGCCAAAATTGATTAATTTGCCAGTGGATTTGAGAAAATTAATCGGAAAATGGGTTTAATTATGTAAAAAGTAGAGATTATTTTGATGAGATTCTGATCTTTGGATTGTATAAACGATTGAGTGTTGTTGCTAATTGTCAGGCTACGATTTGTCATTGTGTCCGCGATCTATAGCTAATACCTGCAAAATAAATCCTATTTTAGTATTTCCTATTTTAGTATTTACAAGACTCTCACATTGCGTTGACTATCTATGGCAATTACTTGCAAAATAAATCTTATTTTAGTGTTTGGAAGACTAATGGCTAAGATAGTGTATAAGGAGAAATGTTTGACTTGAATAGCCTTAATAGCATATTTTTAAGAGTTTAACCTGAATAGGTTTTTTAATATGTTTTGTTATATTTTGAGAAGATATATAGTAGTATATGACTTTCTTGTATTGTAAAGTATAGAAGACAGAATCTCTTTTAACATCTATTAACTTAACATTTATATAAAGGTAGGGATGATCAACTTACATAGAATAGATGGCACAATCGTCTTCTTTTAAGGGCAAAATAGCATTTTTCTTAACATGCAATATATTCTAATTGGAGCTCTTACAAGTTAAGGATCCTCTTAAAAATGTCTTAAGAGTATCGGTATATGTGCCATTATTTTTTATAGTAACATATAGAGCAATGTCTTTTATTTATTTTTTTTAATTTTTTTACCTCACACACCTAAGGCTTAGCAGAACTAGTTTGTTAGGATTTAAACCAGGTGACCTCTTATTGCAAGAAACCACTACCACTAGACTACAAGCTCTTTGGTAACGTCTTTTATTTAACATTTGTTGTTTATACTTTTTTTCAATAAGAGAATGTACTAAACCCAAAGAGTTATTGATGAGATGAGCAAACAGATTGTTCTCGATTATGGGAATTCTTTCGAGACGAAGGTCTTGTGTATGTATATTTAGAGCAAGTGAGTGTGTCTTTTAGAGTTGTGAGGAATACGTGTTGAGGTGTGATTTCTATCGGTAGCCTCTCTAGGTCTTTAGTGAGCAAGCCTTATTGAATAGTCAAATAGCATCCGGATAATTTTTTATGAAATTCTTGTCATTTAATAACTATTTTCCTCCCGATAGTCTTTGGAAAAATTATTTGTGTTTGATGACTACTTTCCTCCGAGAAATTTTTTTGGCAAAATTTTATGTGTTTGTCGATTGCTCACTTGTTTTTGTTCAAATTAGATAATGGTTGGTATGTGGCGGCTTCATTAAATGCTCACAATCTATGATGTTACGTTCACACATAGAAAGCCTAATTGATCACATGTGTCGGGTTTTGTGGGAAACAAAGAGTTTGCGGCCTATCGAACTCTTCCTATTTCCACTTGTCTCTTATCCATAATAGGACGATTGGCGATGGCTGATTGGTCAATGTTGAAAAGTGTTGTCCATTGAGTTTGGGCCTCTAATTATACTTCATAAAGAGTTCTTGTTTATTTGCGTATATAAATAACCACAAGTTGCCGTTTTATTTTTATTTTTTTGTTTTTTTTTAACTTGCATTGTTTGCTTTTTTGAGAGCTTTCTAGCACATTGGTAAAAGTCATCTTGGCTAGTGTTTGGAGTTGCCCGTATTTCTTTTGTTTTTTTGGAAAATCTTCGGGTGATTTTTTTGTCACATTCTTCTTTTAAGCGAAAACATTCTTTCGATCCATACTTGTTAGAGTTCTAGTAGGTAATAATTTCTTCCCTTTTTGTTTATTAAAAAGAGAGAGAAGATTTAAAGAGAATTAAGGAGGTACCAATTGTTGCTTCTCATGGCGAAAGAGTTAACCCTAATGATGAGAGATCAAACCCTTGTGTGAAGGTGTTCATCATCTTCGAAGGGGTAAGAGTAGTCTCTTCTCCTTCTAAAGTGCCTAGATTCATGTCTATCGGCATTGATGAAGGTCTTAACATGGTTGCTAGTGAAAGGATAAGATTTTTAGTTGTTTTTTTTTATTGTTTTCTTAGACCAAACTATTATGCAATCATTCCAAGCCCTACTCGATAGGTTGAGGT